CTGATTCAGCGGGTCGGCTGCCGTGGCGCGTGAGCGGGCCGCTCAGCGGGCCCCGCCGGCCCAAATCCAATGAGGTTGACCCCTCGCCCGACCCGTCCCGACCCCGACCCCCGGCGGGCCCCGACCCAAACCCAAACCCCGCGCACGAAGCCGACTTAACCTTTCAGCGGTGCGTGCGCCGCGGCCTTGCTGTTTGCCTGCTGAGTCCATATCGGCAGCGTGTGGCTGGCTCCACCCCGAGCCCGAGTGGGGCCCAATCCTCTAATCCCACTGGCCTCCTCACCCCTCCATTAGGCCCTCCTGCACAGCACACTCACATCATTCATTGGAGCCGGGGCTTGGCCAGCCGTTGGGAAACAACCGTCTCTCTCTCTCTCTCTCTCTTTGGCTAGGGCGCAGGCCCGGGCGCCCTGTGGGTGCAAGAGAGAGAGAGAGAGAGAGAGAGAGAGAGAGAGAGAGAAGCTATATCCAACAACGGTCGGCCCGGCCGCGCACTATTACGGCGTGGAACCGTTTTCCTTCGCGCAGCTCTTGGTCCAGATGAGATGATGAGGGGAGCGGGATACTGTTCGCCGCTGCTGACCCCCCGGGCCCCGGGCCGAGGATACGTGGCCGCGCCGATCGGACACACGAGGCTGGCCGCGCCTCGTCATCCGACTGCATTGTGGCCCCGAGGCGCGGCCGCGGGTGCGCGCAGCGGGCCGGGGCGTTCCCATGACCTTGGTACCACTGACTGGCCTGCCGGGGGAACCTCCTCCCTCCCATTGAGTAAACAAAACGGGGCTAACTAGATTACCCCGGATGGATTACGATGCACATGATACACACACATTTACCGGCGTCATGGCTGCGTACGTTGAGCGTCGCTCCGATGCTGGAATGCCTGCCCCCGTCCCCATTCCTCCTCTCTCTCTCTCTCTCTCTCGCACACGGCCGCGCGCCTACGCCGCTGACCGTGAAAGGCGCTGTGCGGTGCGGCTTTCATTTGGTGATTTCCTTCCTGCTCGGCTCGACGCTGCACTTTTATCGGGGCGCCTTCCCCCCTCCATCTGCATTCCGGCTGACACGGCCGAAATCCTTTCATTCCGAGCTAGTGCGGTTTTGGCACGGGTCCCGTTGCACGTGTGACTGGGCTGAGCCCGGGGCGCGCTGCCAACGCAAACCACTCGGGAAATTAATCCCGTGAATGAATTCCCCTCTCGCGTCGATTTGTGTCCTTCTCCCTCTTTTCTTTCTCTCGTGTGCCCGCGGCGGCTCCTGCTGCGTGCATGAGCGCGTGCAACACTGCACGCTCTGTCCCCATCACTCGGGCCGCTAAACACCGCCTTCGGAGCGCCGCGAATGGAATCCAGCGCGAGAACTCTCTCACATGCTAATTGCCCGGCCGCCACCTGCCTGTGGGTCAGGCCCTGACTTCAGGCCCGGCGGGTCGCCCCCAGGGCCCACACTATCGCGGCCCCGCTGGCCTTGCCCCGCTTCGGCCCGGCCGGTTTGTTTCGTACGCGCGAGCCATCTTCTGGAATCCGTCGCGGTCGGCATCCTGGCCCGCCCTATGCCGGCGCATCGAACGATTCGCCCGGAGCCCCGCTCACGCATTGTGAAACAAGTTTGGCTCTTGAGATGTTGCCCGACGGAGGCCGTCCGGGTCCCTGTGTGTGTGTGTGAGCACGGTCGAGGCAATCAATGATCCAGAAACAGGGAGTTACTTAAAGAGGGCTCTCGCCCTAGTTTATTTATAGTATTTACAATGTCTTCATCGTGCAAAGACAAAACAACTTTGTAAGGAAGTCTAGAACACAGCAGGTTTTTTCTTTTGTCAAAAAAATATTACAAACAAGCACACGACAGGGGAGGATCACAAGACGTAGCTGAATGGGAAGACCAACTCAAGTCATGTACAAAGGTGAGAGCATCGTGCCAATTGACGTTGATCGATCGGATTCCGATATGAGCATTAGCACCATTTGACTAGGCGATCAATGCCGAATAAGGTGGTTTGTTTTTTGAATATTTTGGACCCTTTAGAGCTAAAGCCTCATACATGGGAACAGAATGGCACTATAACAAAACAAACTCACAATACAAATCAATTTCATCATTTACAAAAATAATTTAAACATCTAGCCATCGACTTTTTAGCGTTACAAGTAGCTTTTAACGACAAAATTACATCGATTAAGTCGGTACATAGCGAAAACGGAGTGCTGTAGCGGATGCAAAGTCCAGTGGTGCAAGCACACATTTATATTTTTACCAGCTTCAAGAAATAACATTATTCAGCCGTCACAGTTCATTCCGTATGTTCATACTAGGAATAGTCCACTAAATAAAAACCACAACTTGGTACGCAACATTAGGGAAATTAAAATCAATTCCACGCTGACGGTCGGCTGGTTCGTATAAAAATGCAAAATGTGAGAGAGCATAGACAACGGGTATTAGTATTCCTCCCTTAGATATGTTTTAATTTCATAACATTGGGAACCTCTTTACATGCTATACACAGCAGGTTCACGTAATAATCTCTCTTTGGCTGTGCAAGTATAAACTGTTCAAAATGTACACTAATTACAATACATTACACAACATTTTAATAATATTTATACATTTTAATAACACGAAAATTACAAAACAAGTGACCAGTCTGTCATTCGAGGACAACTCAATGCCCCAAGACTTCTACTCGCTCTTGCATATTTCGTCAAAGTTGCATTACTTGTTAATCAGTCTTTGGTTGACATTCCCCTATAGAGGGCAATTAGCAATTTAGGTAAACATTTCGCCGACAGAATTCCACATTGGATTGGCTACAGAAAGAAAACGAAACATATGCACATGTGCGACAGGGATTACAGTTGTCCCCGGCTGATAGGGCCGTATGTAATGGGAACAAATTCCATAACAAATATCTTTATTTAAAACCTGCATTGGGCCATAATAACATTCTTTTAGATATTCAAAGAAACAAAAATAATCACGAAGGTGACATCACAGAACATGAAACCGGCCTCTGGGAGGTTGTCTCAGTCAGTTATGGTTCATGAAAGCCGGTTTGGCGTTGACAGGAGAGATCAGGGCGCATGGCGAAGCGAAAGCAAAAGGGGGGGCCCAGTACAGTTAGACATTAAACAGGCCGCCGTCGACGCCCCCTCATAGTAGCGCCGAGGACGGCGCCGCGATTCGTCCCCCTCCACGCCTTCGCCGCGATGGAGCTGATTGATCGACAGGCACTTAATTGACTCATCCTGCGCTTTGGCCCGGCCCAGCCCGGCGGGGCCCCGGCCGGCCGGGCCCCGTTGACTCGTGTCGACTAGATTTCGCTTCACAGCAGCGGGTCCTTGCCGGAGCCCTCGCGGGGCGCCGACATGCAGCACACTGAGGACGCGCCCGCCGAGACGGCCGACGCCGCGGACGCAGCCACGGACGCCGCCGTCGAGGCGCTGTGCTACCTGGCCACGGGCTTCTTCTTGTTCTGCTTGGCCATCTTGCGCCGCTTGACTATCATCTCGTACAGCACCTCCATGCCCTCGTGCAGGCCGTCGCCCGTGATGGCGCAGGCGGGCTGCACGTGCCAGGTGTGCGCGGAGCAGGGCCCGGCCGTGGCCTGGCTCAGGCCCAGCTCGTGCAGGCCCAGCAGCCGCTCCAGCTCGCGGGGCTCGCGCGCGCCCGGCAGGTCCTGCTTGTTGGCCAGCACCAGGATCGGCACGCCCGCGTTGTCCGGGGACCTGCAACACAACACAAGACGCATTTTACAAACGAGTTCGCAGAAGAGGGAAAGGGAACACCGGGAAAATCGCCCCATTTTTCTCCGGGGGCCGCAGATTTGCCGCCAGCACAGAAACCCGTCTCGCACCAGACAACTTTTCCTTCATTTCCATAGGATTCAGCCCTCCACTCCCAGCGAGCGCGCGCCTTCTCCGCCACCGCAGGGCAGGGCTCGCTTGCGGCGGGGTCGGGTGAGACTTTCACTGTCCCATTGTGAGGGGCTGGGCCCGGATAGCCGTGTAATGGCCAGAAACTGACACCGCCGCGCTGCGCCGCGCCTCCTGGCCTCCCGTGTCAGGCGTAAGTGGTCCGCGGGGATGTGTACGTCTACGCCGCGCGCCGACACACCCCGCGCTAATGCGAGGTCGCGGCCGAAACAAAAACTAACCGAGGGGCAAACGGGTTAACGACAGCGCACCACGCCAACGGCGCATGTCCTTCAAACACTGCAAGTCGGATACTCATAACGGCACATTGCTCGCTCAGTTCCCACGGCGTGTGTCCACGTGACAGCTGACAGGGATAGGTGTCTTGAGACCCGGGGGCCCGCATGACTATGACTGAGGAAAGGAGAACACTGCTCATAGGTGTGCACACCAATCTAGTGGCACACTTTGGGATCATCCAGAGAGCACGTCCGTCGTTGGTGGTTACGAAACGGCCGCAGGTTAGCCTTATGCTAGCTCTCATGGCGCCTGATAGGTAGGCAACATCTTGCCTGCAGTGCATGCTTGTATTGTGGATTGGCCTACCCCGAATGTCGCAGGCGCCGGGCTCCCGTGATTTGATGAACAAGAACAAATCCGAGAAAAACGGACGTACTTTCTGGACGACCCCTTTGCAAGTGCGCCATTAACAACTGACAATTACAAACATGGGACTCGCAGTCGCGCACCTGCAAGTGTCCAGCCGCAGCACACGGCCGGCAGTAATGCACGGGCTGCATAAATGAATGGGCAGACGGCTCAATGGGACGAACACTCGCCGCCTTGGCATTCTATTCTCACTCGTTCACTCGGCTCGTCGGTGGCGATCCAAGGACAGCCGAGTCAGGAGCGCACAGCCAGCGCAGCTAGCGGCACGGAGGAGTGCACAGCAAAGAGCAAGTGCTTCATGACGCCATGCTGCTCGTGCCAGTGATATAATCAAAGCAAACACACGCCGTGCGGCGCCCGCGCTCACACCGCCGTGCAGCTGTCCCGCCCTGCACCACATTGCCCAAATGCTTTCTCCCGACCGGTTTTGACGCACACGCCGTCCGCACCTCCCGCCGTGCATTCCTGGAGCATAGAGCGACGCCCGCGACGACAACGACGCTCGTCGTGGAGACGACGACAACAACAACATCAGAACGAGCCGGCTCGGGCGAGCGCCTCCACAGAATATTAATCCTGTACGGTACGGCGAACGGTATGCCGCCGCTACCTGTCGGTAAGTACAGGTGTAGCGGCGACACAACCACTGCTTAGCAGTGCTGCTTGGCCATGCAGCGGGCGTCCCTTGTCTCCCTCCTCACCGTCTGGGCTGGGCAGCGATGCGAACGGCGCGAACCTCGAGCAATTCGAGCCCCTGCGGGGCACTACACTACAGAAGAAGCAAGAAATTGTCTTTTGTGTTGCCCCGGTAACGTGATTCAGCATCCCATGGTCCATCTCATTGCATCACGGGCGAACGGGGCGCCCGCGCCTGCAGCAGCTGGGCCTCGCCTGCAGGAAGCTGGCACAGTCCTCCGCCCGCCTACAAATGGCAAGCCGAAATGACCCGTCTTTCTCTCTGGCTGTCGCTCATTTCCGGAATGAATGGGCAGAACGCCGGCGGCCCTGCCCTGCTCGACGGACAGCCGCTTCTTATCTAATCAGCAGGGCGCGCGACGCTTCCTCGTGTGAGAGTGTGTCGCCTCAACAGTTTGTATGCCGCTCCCGGACCACCAACAACGCCGGCCCCGCCCACACCAACAAAGTACCATCTCGCCGTGACACTGTCGCCCCGGACGGGAGTCTTCGCCCTCGCCCCTCGCCCGCGGCCACCTGCGGTCAGCCTGACCCGTTGGGCCCGGTCGCCTGCTCGGCCTGACCCGCAGCGCTCGCGCCAGGCCAGAGTCACGCGCCAGCAGGAGGGCGGCGGCAGCGCGAATTGCAAAAAGCGCAGCTCGGTGGTGAAGCCGCCGGGGCGTTGTGGGTCACCTGGGCGCCGCGCCGGGACGCCGGCGATCATCCTGGCGGCGCTAAGCAGCCGTGGCGCCGCCATTCGCCACGCTAAGCAGTCGCTGGTCCTGGGCAAGGTCGGGTCGAGCGCCGGCAGAAGACACACCGTCCCGTTACGCTCGCCATCGGCTGACTATCCAACACGACAGAGAAGAGCGTCTTCTCTGGCTTCGGAAACCTGCCGCGCCGACGGCGACGGATCGCGGTCTGTTTTCGCGTCCCCTCGAAGAGCCCACGCGTGCCCTCGAATGTATGGCCGACCGGCCGGCCGACGAGGCCCATCGGAAACCACCACGCAACATTCCTGCAGGCCAAGCGTCAAGAAATACGAGAAGCCACGCCGTAAACACGAAAAGAAAACGGGAGAGGCAAATTTCCGTCATTATTTTTTCCCCGACGCTGCGCGACCTCTCACCCGCTGCCTTGCCTGCCCATCCTGGAAACCATCTCTTCAAGGAGGCGGCTTAAAAATGCGCTCGGCGCCGCGGCCGCCGCTCCCCGGTCCATTCCAGGACGCTCCGCCCCGCCGTGGGCGCCGCGCTCCACTCCCGTTTAGCGCCGCGAAGGCCCTTGTCCAGCCCATTTGCCATCCCAATTAGGAAGAGCGTCATTTGTGGGGCGCCAGCTGGCTGTCCTCGCACGTCCCGCGCAGTCGGCAAAAATTACAATAATAACGACAGACAATACAGATCGGGAACACGTGATTACAACAAAAAATGAAATAAAAAAAAGGTGCGCACGCGATATACTGCATTCCACGGCAGGCACGCACGAGAGCTGGTGCATGTGTGTGTGTGCGCCAATGAGGGCGTTTGCATACTTACGTCCCGTCTTTACCAAGCGTTTATACACAGATCACACTTCGCACGAGAGCTAGCGGGCGTTTCAGATGCTATCTTTCTCTCCCTCACGCTACCAGAGCCTACATTACTTACGTAAGTTTCCCAACCATTTCGCGCATGACACATACACTCTCTCTCTCTCTCTCTCTCTCTCTCTGACACACACACACTCACGCGACTCAGAAGGCGCCTAACAACACACCGAGTCGGAAACACCGCCTGCTGTCGTAGGGCCTCCCTGACAGCCACTCGTCAGGCAGATGCATGCCCCGCAGGTGCAGCGCCGCTGCGGCACGGCAGATGCACGGCAGATGCACGGCAGATGCACAGCTGCGCCCGCGGGCTGCAATGATAGCAACAGTGCAATAATAACCCGTTCCATGTCTGGACGCGCGTAATCAAAAAGGAAAATGGCAGGCGCAGTGCGAGGCGCGAGGGACCGCCGCGCCGCGGTCCGCACCCCACACGGCCGCGAAGCCCCGCGGGCCCGCGGGCACACCTGCTGGAGAAAACCGACCTCCCCGCCCTGCCCTGCAACGTGTCCCCCGTGCGCCCCGCAGTCATAAATTTGAGCCGTTGGCCGCGCAGCGGATAAAACAAAAAAATAAAAGCAGCGAATAAATCTCATGCGAGTGGTCCCCCCCTCCTCTCCCCTGTCCCGCACCTCGAGGGGAGAAAGTGGGCCGGCGGCGCGGCAAAGGGGCGCGCCAATCGCCGCGGATCAATCAGCTTCGGAATATCAACAAAGGCGCCGAGGCGCTAACCAACCCCCACACGACAGGCAGGGCCGGCCGCAAAACAAACGGCCTTGGCGTTCGATGTATCGCCGGATGCATCGATACTAATTGCGCGCAGACATACGCCCCGCGGCATTGTTCGAAATCCGCCGCCGCTACCGCCGCTACTGCACACACACAAGGCGCGCGCGCCACGCCGCGGAATGCTCCGCCGCAATATCGAGATATCGATGGCTCCTCGATACTCTCGGAGCGCGCAAAGCCTATTAGCGAATAACTCGGCGCGCCGATTCAGGAAACCGTATTGCGTCGCGGAATTTTCATGAGGCGCAGCGCAGCTACGCGAGCGCGCTTCACAGAAATGCGTCTAGTCTAGCATCCGGCAACGAGTTTTTTTCCCTCTTTTGCTTTTCCTTACGAACAGGAAATAAATCGCGACGTATTGCTCGCCGCTGGCATGCACCAAACCAACTCCACTTTTTTCCCACTCTTTGAATTGTCCGATCGGCAGGCAAGCAGCAGCAGCAGCAACCGTACCGCCCGCGGAGGGGGTGGCGTAAGACGAGACGGAGCGCCAACCACTCGGCGAGACGGAAAAGTATTTCAATCGGCGGGAGGCAAGCGCTGCGGGCGAAATGCACTCGCACCAAACGGAAGCTGTCTCTCTCTCTCTCTCTCTCTCTCTCTCTGAGTGTGCAGACAGGTAGACGATAGACGTGTGGACGGAGACACAGATACACGGGTAAGATATCGGCGGGGCCATACAAAACGGTCACATGGGAGAATTACGCGCTCGATTGGGCGTGGTGTGCACTCGATGCAAGCTCGATACGATGTGGAAATCGATTGTTCGCGAGGGCAGGGCATCGACGCACGCAACCAGTCCGCGCTGCTCGCTCACACACACACACACACACCGAGGGCAGGGCATCGACGCACGCAACCAGTCCGCGCTGCTCGCTCACACACACACACACACACAATGCTCAAGCGGAGAAAGTCCCCCCCCCCTCTGTCTCAAAGAAGTACCCTGCAGCGCAAATATCGCATTCAATCAATCTCCCCACCCAAACCGAACCCGTCGAGGCGGCCGCCACAGCGAGAGCGCCAGCTTCAGCCGCCCCAAAACAATGAGGCATTGCGTCCAGGGCGGCCTCGCGCGCGTGACAGATGAGAC